TGACTCTGAAAAGAAACTCTCTTTTGTTTACCTGCTAAGTAATGAACACACAAAATTTTTTACAATGATAGAGGTCCAACCAACAATAATTGTGTGATCCTCCATTAATTAATTGACACTTTGATAATGAGTCTACTTCTTTACCTTTTTACCATCTCTCTCTTACTCACCTCTCTTTTCTTTCATTTTTTTTACTCCTAATAAATATCCAATTCTCAAAACATAATTAAATAATTAATACATTTGATAAAAAAAAAAATCGATAAATACATTTTCCTGTTAAAATAACTTAAACACTTATAAAATTGTTAACATTAAAAATAAACTCATTTTTCATTATATTTAATAGAATCAAATTAACTCAAAATACAAACTAATTTACTTTAGCATATAAATTGATTTGATAAGATTATTTTTGTTTTGATTTTTGATCTTATTTTGAAATTACACATACTTTTTCTTTCACCATAACCATATTTAAATATAAGAATGACAACGAGACAGAACAAGACAGAACAAGACAGGGAGTGGTAGACTCATAAACGTTTTTAAAAAATTTATACAGGTGACGCGGGTCACAGAACGAAATTCAAGTCTTTTAAATTAAAACTTACAATGCTTAATTTATTTTCAAGAATCAATCGGCTCCATATAATTTTAAATTAACTACTCATTATATCATTATTATTATTAAAATAATAATAATAATATCATTCAATCTTAATATTATTAGAATTCATTTTTAGTGTCTTTACGTACATTCAGTTATAATATAAATTTTCCAACGTTTTCTATTAAGTATTTTAAAAAATTATAACTTAAATTAAGAAAAATAACGGATACTCTATGTTAAGAGAATGACTATAAATATATGAACTAAAAAAGAATTAAAATAACAATGACTATAAATATATGAATTAAAACAGAATTAAAAAAATATATATATTAGAACAACTAAATTTGAATTAATTTGTTTTTTTAGGTGCTAGTAATTGACAAAACACTAAATATTTGTGAGTTAATTTGATACTATTAAAAATATTGAATGATATGAGTATTTTAAATACTCAGTCCTAAAAACATTTTTAGTTATTGTGATAAATTTTTTTTATTAATTATCTTATTCAATATATCAACATCTTAAGAAAATGAAGTTAAGAAATATTTATTAGGAGTAAGAAAATAGGAAAATGAATGAAAAGAAGGATGAGTAGGAGAGAGATGATAAAAAGGTAAAGAAATAGACACATTATCCAAGTGTCAATTAATTAATGGAGGGTCACACAATTATTGTTGGTTGGACCTCTACATTCATGAACACACTTGTTCAACTTTTCTTGTTTCACTCCAGAAAGCAAATTCTTCTTAGCAAAATTGTTCATCCCCTTCTCGCTCATATGACTCAGTCTTCTCTGCCATAACAATGATGAAGTGTCATTCTCCACCAAATTTACTGAGCCTCTAAAAATGGAGCCCTGAAAAACATACAAGTTAGAAAACTTGACACCACGGGCTACAACCATCGAACCTCTAGTAAGCTTCCACTGACCAGCACCAAGAGTATTAACATAACCCTCATTATCAAGGTATCCCACGAAAATCAAATTCAATCGACATCTGGAGCATGTTTGACATTGTTGAAAACTAGTTTGGAACCATTATTACTTTCCAAACAAACTGTCCTAATACCAAGAACTGCAACCTCATGATTATTACCCATTTTCAACAACTCAAAATTACCTGGAGTATAAGAAGAAAATAATTCCTTCCTAGGCGTGACATGAGAAGTAGCACCAGAAGCTAGCCTTTCGCTTCCTCCTTGTACTAGATTTTTACTTGAATTCCCCCTGAAAGCGAGAAGGCATATAATTTCCATTTCAAAAAAAAAAAAGGTAAAAAATCAAAATAGAATTTTACGACTAGAAAATAAGATTAAAAAAAGACTTGAAATCCTTTTATTCCATATTAGACTTGAAATCGGTGAGGCCTCAACCGACAGCCTTGCTTCATTCTGCGGCGGTTTTCAAGCTAGCACCCGTTTCAGCATATCATCTCTCCCCGTTTCTGGCATGCTATAGTTATTAAAGTCTCTCGACGGCGGGAATGGGAGATTACCGGTAAGCCAGATGCTTCGCGAACCCTATTCAACTTTAAGGCATTTCGTTGCACTTTAATCACCCTCGTGAAGAGGCGCACTCCGATACCATTGATGTCCAATAGCTTTTATAGTAATGGTTGGATCTACTACTACCTCGTCCATTGAGTATAACAGAGCAAATGATGGTATAGCAATGAACATAGGGATGATACTAGGAAATATGGTCTGAAGAATCTCGATAGTAGTTCCATGAACAATCCTTTGCGGGATTGGATTTTTTTTATAGTGGAAATGCCATAAAGCGCGACCCAAGATCCATGATACGAAAACCAAAATCAGAATAACGAAGAAAACCACAAATCAGCTAGACTCATCGCGAACAAGATTGACGACATTTTCATCACAAGAAGATCATCATTAGCATCAACAACAACACAATTTTCATTGTCACCTTCTTTCTTTTGTTGTCTCATATCTCTCTTATACTTAAAATAATATTTCTTGATATTCCCATTCTTGTGGCAATAGTCACATATAACATTCTTTTATTTAGACTTTGACGTATATCTACTTTTATCTCTGTCACTCTGACTTCAGAACTTGTTTCTCCCCTATCTTCAGTAACCAAAACATCGGAGTGTGAAGTAAAAGAAGTTGAGCCTTGAGATCTTCTTCTCATCTCTTCATTCAAGACACCACTCTTAACATATTCCATGGTCAAAACACCACTGAGAGTTGAATTAGTCAAAGAAACTAGAAGAGTTTCAAAAGAGTCTGGCATAGTATTAAGAAGTCATAGTCCATGTATTTCTTCATCAAATTTTACATTCATTCCAGATAGCTGATCAAGAACACCTTGAAAATCATTAATATGATCAGAAATAGGAGTGCCCTCATTATATATGATATTCATCAATTGTTTCAATAGAAACAACTTATTGTTGCCAGTCTTCGAAGCATATAGCGTCTCGAGCTTGTCCCACAAACTTCTAGCATGTGTCTCATTCAGAATGTGATTTCAAACATTATTTTCAACTCATTGTCTAATATAGCCACAAACCTGCAAGTGCTCAAATTCACATTCCTCATCCGTCATGGACTAGGGTTTATTAGAGGTAAACACATGTAAATACATTTTTCTTGACAAATAGAAGATCTTTCATTTTGTCTCTCCAAATATGATAGTTACTACCATTCAAACAAACCATCTTTCTCATATTTGCCTCCATCATTCAAATCAATAATGAACAAAAACCAATGCATTGATACCACTTTGTTTGAAAAGGCAAGACACTAACAAGAATGTCAGATAGGATAACAACGGAATAATACCCTAGTATAAACTTTACCTTTCAATTTGAACCAAGAGAAGACAAACCAAATCAAGCAATACGAAGAATGGACAACAAATATATCAACCAAACTAAAGCAATAAGATAAGAACAAGCCAATCACAAAAGACACAACGATTTACGTGGAAAACCCTTCGATGTGAAGAGTAAAAAACCACAGGACCAAAAGCTCCACTATAAACACCAAGAGCTACAAAATTGTTCTCCAAAATTGGCCACAAAACAAGCGCCAAACAACGAGCAACAATAAAACAAGATTGCACCAAAACTAGAGAATTAAAGAAGAGATTTCACCCAAAAACGAGCTACTGTTAACGCCCCAAAATCAGAAGCTACAGGACTCCAAATGCGATCTCCACCGTAGAATTGCAAGAACCAGAGGTTGAGAACTCCCGGTTCAACTTTGAGCACGATCCAACGGTTAACGAAGTGGCACACTCTGTCTGAAGTAGAGCCGTCAATATGGGCTAGGCCCGTTGGGCCGATCTGGCCTAACCCGGGATTTAATAGGGCTGGGCTAAGATTTTTAGAGCCCATTTAAGAAAAGGGCTTTTTAGCCCGGCCTGAATAAGCCTGTTGATTTGTGGGGCTTGAGAAATATAGGTAGGGCCGGCCCGTGGGCCAATAAAAATTAATTAAAAATATAATATAATATAATATAATATTAAAATTTAAAATTAAAGAGAGTCCAAACTCAAAATCTATTTAAAGTTTAATTCCCTAAAATCTTTAGGGAATCACTAATAGACCGTAGTTTATTTATTCACCATCCGCAGCCGTCTTCTCTATAGTTCTCTTACTAGTTTGTTTTCTCTTGGTGGTAGTAGTCCAAGTAATTTTCTAAGGAATCACTATTCAAGCTTATTCTCTGGTAAAAACAAGTAAGTTTACTTTTCCCTCTTTATTTTACAATTCTTTAATTTTGTTCTATTTTTAATTTATTGTTTTTTATTCGATGTTCATTCTATGTGCTCGATGTACCCTAAACGCATAAACAAATTCAAAATTTGACATTATAAGCTCTTACAATAATCTAAGTTAATATTGCAATAGCAATTGCATTTATAGTCAAACATAATTTGTTACGTAAAAATTATTTGATACATATAGACTAGATCTATCACTATCTAAATGATGTGAATTATTTTTTTTATGAATTTTATTTTATTATCTTTTTATTTTATGTTATCATAGGAAAATAGAAAAATTAATGGATGACACAAATATTATACGTGAAGATAGTGGTGAGGAAACTGAGCCGGTAGAACCAAAGCAAAAAAAAAACCAAACCAACAACATCAGATGTGTGGAAATATTTCACAAACATTGGCAAAGGGGAAGATGGAATTGAAAGAGCAAAATGTACTGGCTGTAAAATTGCAATTTTTAAAGTTGGTACAACTCCCAAAGGTACAAATTATGGGACATCACATTTACGTCGTCATAAGGAGGTATGTCCAATGCTTAAATTTCATAATCTGGGTCATATGTTCATTAATCAAGAAGGCAAATTACAGTCTAGAAAAGTTGATCAACAAATACAACGTGAAATGCTTGCAGAAGCTATTATTAAGCATAATTTGTCATATTCTTTTGTTGAATATGATGGAATTAGGAATTGGATAAATTATATAAGTCCAGATGTTGTGATGCCTTGTAGAAACACAGAAGTTGCAGATATAAGAAAAATGTATATTAGAGAGAAGGAGAAATTGAAACAAGAATTGGCTAAAATTTCTAATAGAGTATGTTTGACTTCTGATTGTTGGACATCATCTACTTCTGAGGGATACATTTGTTTAACGGCTCAATTTGTTGATGAAAATTGGAGGTTGAATTGTAAAATTCTAAACTTTTGTCGTATGTATCCTCCTCACACTGGAGTTGAAATGGCTGCTGTTATATACGACTGCTTGAAGAATGGAATATAGAAAAGAAGGTATTTTCTATTACTTTGGATAATGCTACTGCCAATGATAGTTTGCAAACTATTTTAAAAGGGCATCTTAATTTGCAAAATAGTTTGGTGTGTGATGGTGAGTTCTTTCATGTGCGTTGTTCTGCTCATATTTTGAATTTGATTGTTCAAGAAGGGTTAAAGGCAGCTATTGATTCCTTGATTGCAATTAGGGAAAGTGTTAAGCATGTTAGAGGATCAGATGGGAGAATGCAAAAGTTTGAGCAATGTGTTAAGCAAGTTGGAATTGAAACTAATCTTGGTTTACGTTTAGATGTAGTAACTAGATGGAACTCAACGTATTTGATGCTTGAAAGTGCTCTCCCATATGAAAAGGTTTTTTCTAGTCTACATTTACATGATAGAAATTATACACACTGTCCTACATTTGATCAATGGAGAAGGGCTGAAAAAATATGTGAAGTCTTGGAGCCATTTCATGAGATAACAAATTTGATTTCTGGTTCAAGTTATCCAACCTCTAACTTGTATTTTATGCAAATTTGGAGAATTGAATGCATGCTGAAAGAGAAGTTGAATAATGAAGATAAAGTTATTAAGGATATGGCTTCAAAGATGCATGAGAAGTTTGAAAAATACTGGAAGCAATATAGTGTAGTACTTGCATTTGGAGCAATTCTTGATCCCCGCATGAAATTACAATTTTTAAGTTTTTGTTATTCTAAGTTGGATTCTATTTCCACACAAAAAAAGATCTCACTTGTGAAGAATAAATTGTATGAGCTTTTCGATCATTATACAAACAAGCAAAATGTTGTTAGTGCTTCTTCAACTATTCGGACTACACCAAGTGAAGCTAGGAGGAAACCCAAAGGATTCAAAGTATTTAATGTAAGTAATTTTCATCTTGTTAAAAATTGAATATATTTCTAACTATATCAAATATTTTTTCTTTGTGTATTACTGTCTTTACTATTCTTACATGTATTAACTATTTTCATGTTTTTAACTTCATAGGAATTTAAAGCATTTGAGAATGAAACTGTTTCTAGCAATGGAAAGTCAGAATTAGATCTTTACTTAGAAGAACCAAAGCTTGATTATGAAAAGTTTCAAGATATGGATGTTTTCATGTATTGGAAGGATTACTCTAAAAGATATCCAGAACTTTCAATAATGGCCCGTGATGTACTTAGTATTCCTATTACCACTGTATCATCAGAATCATCATTCAGCATTGGTGGACGTGTTCTCACTAAGTATAGAAGTTGCATCCATCATGAAAATGTCCAAACACTTGTTGCTACTCGAAATTGGTTACATGGTTTTTCTCAAACTGGTAATATATTTTTGTGTACATTTAAATATTATAATTCTCAATTTAGTTATTTTTTAATATTTAACTAATTGAAACCGCATATAAATTGCAGATGAAAATGAAGATGTTAAGACAACCTTCCCACAAGTTGATTCAGATATGCTTCATGAAGTATTAGATACGCCATAAGTTTCATGATTTTTTTAAAGAGTTTATTTTTTTCTTTTTTATGGTTGGAATATTGTCATATTTTTTGTGTTTTATTGTGATCATTGCAAAACAATTAGGTTAATATTTCTATTTAGATATTTATACTTTTACTTGAAAAAAAACTTAATAAATATTTATAAAGATAATTTTATTTGTGGATTTGATTAATAAGTAGTAACATTAACACCATGTAATATTGTTTTATCGATATTTATGATAATATTTTTAAATTATAATTTATAATTATAATTTTTTTTTATAATTTTTAAAAAAGTGGGCTGGCCCGGCAAGCCTGTAGCCCACGTACTTGTGGGTTGGGCCGATCGTTTTCTGGCCCACACAAAAAATGGGCTAGCCCGGCCTGGCCCGTAAAATGTCAAAGCATGTATGGGTTAGCCCGGATGGGGTGGGCTAGCCCATATTGACAGCTCTAGTCTGAAGTGGACTGCCTGAGTAGAAAATTTCCTGAAGCAAAACCTGGATTTTTCTCTCTTTCTCTCTATCTCTAAAACGAATCTCTCTTGCTTTTTCCCTTTTGTGTTTCTTAAAATAAGACCAAATAAGCCTTATAAATGTCACATAATATTGGGGTTAGAAGCTAAAGTGGGCTGGTCTGAATAAGACTTTTATTTATCCACACAGAAAGGGAAAAAAAATCCTAAACCCAACAATTCTTCCCCTCACAACTATGTGGAGGAGACCGCCATCCCGACGATCATGCAACAATCCCCAAACTTCCCTATTGGCAAAGCTTTAGTCATCATGTCGGAACCATTATCATTGGTATGGATCTTTTCAAGTTCAAACAACTTAAAATCCAACACATCTCGAATCCAATGATACCTCACATTAATGTGTTTAGACCGACCATGAAATGTAGAATTTTTGCCAAGATGAATAACACTTTGACTATCGCAATAAAGCACATACTTGTCTTGAGCACAACCAAGTTCCCCTAAAAATCTCTTCATCCAGATCAACTCTTTGCAAGTTTCAACAGCAGCAATAAGCTCAACCTCTGTAGTAGATAAAGCAACACATTTTTGCAACCTAGATTGCCAAGACATAGCTCCACCTGCAAAAGTAATCAAGTAGCCTGAAGTAGACTTACGAGTATCAACATCATTAGCCATGTCTGAATTAGTGTAACCACAAAGAATAGGCTTCCTTGTACCAAAACACAAACTCAAACTAGAAGTGTCACAAAGATATCTCATAATCCACTTTACAACATTCCAATGTTCTCTTCCCGGATTAGAAAGAAAACGGCTAACAATACCAACAGCATGAGCAATATCTGGTCTTGTACACACCATTGCATACATCAAACTACCACCAGCTGAAGTATAAGGAATTTTCTTCATATCTTCCTTCTCACCATCACTGGAAGGATAATCTCTACTACTCAATTTGAAGTGCATAGCTAAAGGTGTATTGATAACCTTAACTTTGTCCATGTTGAATCTACGAAGTACTTTCTGAATATACTTCTCTTGTGACATCTCTATCACGGACAATCTGCATGCCAAGAATCTGTCTTGCTGGTCTCAAGTCTTTCATGGCAAAAGACTTATTCAACTCTAGCTTCAACTCTTTAATCCTGCAAGCATTATGACCAACAACAAGCATGTCATCAACATAAAGCAAAACGATAATAAAGTCACCATCAGAGAATTTTCGCACAAAAACACATTGCTCTGAAAGAGTCTTCTTGAAGCCCTGGTGACTCATAAAAGAACCAAACTTCATGTACCATTGCCTTGGAGCATGTTTTAAACCATTCAAGCTCTTCTTCAATTTGCAAACATAATTCTCTTTTCCCTTGACTTCAAAGCCTTCCAGCTGCTCCATATAAATTTCTTCATCCAAGTCACCATGGATAAAAGCAGTTTTAACATCCATCTGTTCCACTTCCAAGTCCAGATTTGCAGCCAAGCCTAGAACCACACGGATGGATGACATCTTCACAACTGGAGAGAATATCTCATCAAAATCAATCCTTTTTTTCTAGCTAAACCCTTCACAACTAATCTAGTCTTGTACCGTAGAACTGGGTTACCATCTTCATGTTTCACCTGAAAAACCCACATGTTTTTCAAAGCTTTTCGATCTTTAGGTAAAATAACAAAATCGAAGGTATGATTATCATGTAGAGACTTCATTTCATCCTCCATAACATCAATTTACTTTTCTTTTTCTTCATTTACCATGGCCTCATCAGGACTCTCTGGTTCTCCCCTATCAGTCAAGAGTACATACTAATTGGAAGAATAGCGAGATGAAGGTATTTTCTCTCTAGTAGATCTTATGAGAGAACTCTCTGGAGCATCAATAATAGTTGGTTGCAAACCAACCACATCGTCTTGCACTGGAGCATCAGCGGCATTGTGGCTATTCTGAATATGATCACCATCTTCAATATCAATTTGATTTTCATCATTTTGAAGATTTTCACCTGGTGGAATAGTCAAAGGCACTTGATCAACGTCAACTAGGTTGTCACTACTCTGAGAATCAACTTTCTCAAGTTTGTCAAGATCTTCAATTGTTTGGTCTTCAAAGAACACAACATCACGGCTTCTATCAAGTTTCTTCTAAACTAGATCAAAGAAACGATAGCCAAATTCATCTTGATCATAACCTCCAAAGATACATTGCCTAGTTTTAACATCTAACTTTGACCTTTCATCCTTAGGAACATGCACAAATGTTTTACACCCAAAAACTTTAAGATGATCAGAAGAAACATTCTTACCAGACCAAACTATGTCAGGGACACCGCCATTCAAAACAACAGTAGGAGATAAATTGGTAACATATGCAGCAGTATTAAGTGTTTCTGCCCAAAAAGAATCTAACAGCTTAGCATCTGAAAGCATATATCTAACTCTCTCAACAAGAGTTCTATTCATCCTTTCCGCCAAACCATTCAGCTAAGGAGTCTTTGGAGGAGTTTTCTGATACGAAATACTATGCTCTCTGCAATATCTATCAAAAGGGCCAATATACTCACCACTATTATCAGAACGAATGCATTTCAATTTCTTTCATGTTTGTCTCTCAACTAAGGCTTGAAAACTTTTGAACACATCAAATACCTGATCCTTGGACTTCAAAGAGAATACCCAAAGTTTGCGTGCATAATCATCAATAAAAGTCTAAAAATAAAGTGCACCGCCATAAGTCCTTACCTTAAAAGGACCACACAAATCAGAATGTACCAACTCCAGCAAATCAAGCTTTCTTGAAGGCGGATGACTCTCTTGATGGCGGATGACTCTGCAAAGAAACTCTCTTATGTTTACCTTCTACGCAATGAACACACTTGTTCAACTTTGTTTGTTTCACTCCAAAAATGAAATTCTTCTTAACCAAATTATTCATCCCCTTCTCGCTCATATGACTCAGTCTACTATGCCAAAACAATGATGAAGTATCATTCTCCACCAAATTTACTGAGCCTTTAAAAATGGAACCCTAAAAAACATACAAGTTAGAAAACTTGTCACCACAGGCTACAACCATCAAACCTCTAGTAAACTTCCACTGACCAACACCAAAGGTATTAACATAACCATCATTATCAAGGTATCCCACAGAAATCAAATTTATGCAAATATCTGGAGCATGTTTGACATTGTTGAGAACTAGTTGGGAACCATTATTACTTTCCAACCAAACTGTCCCAATACCAAGAACTGCAACCTCATGATTATTACCCATTTTCAATATCTCAAAGTTACCTGGAGTATAAGAAGAAAATAATTCCTTCCTGGGAATGACATGAGAAGTAGCACTAGAATCCACAAATCAGCTAGACTCATCGCGAACAAGATTGACGGCATTTTCATCACAAGAAGTAAGAAGATCATCATTAGCAACAACAACAACACGATTTCATTGTCACCTTCTTTCTTTTGTTGTCTTATATCTCTCTTATACTTAAAACAATATTTCTTGATATGCCCATTCTTTAGGCAATAGTCACATGTAACATTCTTATATTTAAACTTTGACTTACATCTACTTTTATCTCTGTCACTCTGACCTCTGAACTTGTTTCTCCCCCTATCTTCAGTAACCAAAACATCGGTGTGTGAAGTAAAAGAAGTTGAGACTTGAGATCTTCTTCTTATCTCTTCATTCAAGACACCACTCTTAGCATATTCAATGGTCACAACACCACTGGGAGCAGAATTAGTCAAAGAAACTCGAAGAGTTTCAAAAGACTCTGGCAGTGTATTAAGAAGCCATAGTCCCTGTATTTCTTTATTGAATTTTACATTCATTCCAGATAGCTGATCAAGAACACCCTGAAAATCATTAATATGATCAGAAATAGGAGTGTCCTTTTTATACCTATTATTCATCAATTGTTTCAATAGAAACAACTTATCGTTGACAGTCTTCGAAGCATATAGCGTCTCGAGCTTGTCCCACAAACTTCTGACATATGTCTCATTCACAATATGATTTCGAACAGTATCTTCAACCCATTGTCTAATATATCCACAAACCTTCAATTGCTCAAATTCTCATTCCTCATCCGTCATGGACTAGGGTTTATTAGAGGTAAACACAGGTAAATACATTTTTCTTGACAAATAGAAGATCTTTCATCTTGCCTCTCCAAATATGATAGTTACTACCATTCAAACAAACCATCTTTCTCATAGTTGCCTCCATCATTCAAATCAATAATGAACAACAACCAATGCGCTCATACCACTTTGTTGGGAAATGCAAGGCACTAACAAGAATGTCCGACAGGATAACAACGGAATAATACCCAAGTCTAAACTTTCCCTTTCAATTTGAACCAAGAGAAGACAAACCAAATCAAGCAATACGAACAATGGACAACAAGTATATCAACCAAACTAAAGCAATAAAATAAGAACAAGCCAATCACACAAGACACAACGATTTACGTGAAAAACCCTTCGATGTGAAGACTAAAAAACCACAGGACCAAAAGC